GAAGTTAAAGTCTCCTAAAAGAATAATTTCTTTATTTTCAACATAAAGTGTATCTAAAATAGTTTCAATCTGGTCATTCCAAGAAGCTGGCGATGATGGGGCCTATAAATGTATCCTACAATAAAGGGTTTTTGTTTGTCAAGCTTCATTTCTACCCATATAGCCTCAATATCACTAGAATCAAGATCAGCTCTTAGTTCACATGGTAGGTTTGACTTTATATATAAAGCTATCCCACCCCCATTAGACTCCCTATCACGTCTGAAAAGTTGATAATTATTCAAATGGATTTCATTGCTTGAAAGTTTGTCACTAAGGAAAGTTTCTTGCAGTCCTAGTATGTCAATATTTGGAAATTTATTAATTAAGAACTGAATTTCACTAAACTTTGGATAAAGATAATGTATGTTCAGATGCATAAAGTTAATGCCATTTCTGTCAAATTTTACGTCTTTAAGCATCAAATCAGATTGTGGTGAATCGCTATCGACATCTGATTGGTTGGCATTTGGATCTGTGTAATTATCTTTTTTTTTCAGTACTGTTCCTTTTCATATTGATATTATCTACATTATATACACTGTATTGAATATTATTTGATACAATTTCATGTGTAGTATTATCACTTTCTTTGAAATATTTGACAGTGTCAGCTACCACTTTGGATGCATCCAGGGATTCCATGGCCAATATCTTGGTGTTGCTGGAAAGCCCCTGTTTCGTGTATTGTAATTTCGGTTTGGATCCAGTTTCTGGTAATGTTGAGCCTCCTGAAAATTTACGGGTTTTTGTGGAGAGTTCTGTTGCAATCCAAGGGATGTGCGTATAGCTTTGTTAAGTTGTTTCCCTAATACAATTGATCCTTCAATGTTAAGATGGACTTCATCATAGAAGAGAGTTTGGTTCACTTTTCCATCCGTTATCATTTTACTGTCATTGTCAATAAATATGAACCCTTTTTCTGTACACATGTTTTTCAGAAGGTTATTGGTGACAGATATGTTTTCAGTAGACAAAAGGTCTCTTTTCTTTGGTTGAACTGACGAAATCATTACTTTTGCCTTTGAGTTGATTCCTTGAAGTGCATAAGTAAGATTAAGAGGAAACTCCTAACAGATATCAGTTTGTTTGTCTGCATTTGATATATTGTTTATACCAGCATGTATGATGACTATATTCATGTTTATTTTCATGAAAAATTTGGAAATGTATTTACAAGCAAATTGTGTTGGCTGGTTGGTATCACAGATATTTTTCAGGGATAACTAGCCAGTAATAATCTTATTTCGACGCAAATGACAGACTAATAATCCCAAATACAAATGGCCATTAGACTCAACAGATACGGAGAAACTTCGCCATCGATTCATTTTCAAATGATGATTTACTGTGTATGCCTTTTGTTGTTGTGTTTCAATGGTATTGATTTAATGAAATGAATTATAAATGTAATACCCGAGGTCACATAGATTATACTTACCTTGATTTTTAATGTAAAATCCACATCCTGTTTAATATATCAATTTATTCTTTTGCAATCAATGTTTATTGACAGTATTATTTAATGAGGATGATGTGAGTTTCTCATCATACCTAATTCAACATACAGAGGCTGTCATTTTCATATTGTGACTTATTTCTTGAACTGGAACTTGTAATGTCAGTCTAATACGTAACACAACAGTTTTCGCGATAGAAGTAAACATAACTGTCTTTTTTTCTGACAACAGAATATTATATGTTGTAATGTTGATTGTATTGATAATGAAATCCTAGAAGTGTCTTACCATAAACTGAAACCACTTCAATTAGCACGTAACCTCTCATTTTTAATGTTTTGAATATTGCACCTGTCTTTCAGGCGGCCATTTTTTACTATTTTTTTATAAACACGACGAGCACACGCATAGCAACGCTGGGCTGGATGCTGTACTTTATAATATAGCAGCACGCCTCCAGATTCATGTTTATTTTCATGAAAAATTTGGAAATGTATTTAAAAGTAAAATATTGTAAGGTGAACAAGTAAAGTAATTAACATATTGCAATCGGCACTTACAATCCAAGAAAATTAACAAAATGTGGTCAACATATGCAAAAACAGTCCGTTAGTAACGCAGTAGACATATGGTGATATGATACAGCACAATCAGTGTTAAACGGCACAAAACATGTGAAATATAACTTGGATCATGAATGTTTATACCTTTCTCAAAATTTTAGTATATTTTTCTTAAAATTGATTTTCTTGAAATATTTTGGCCCATCTGGAGGCATGCAGCTTTAAACTTCATTATTTAAGATGTATCATTGTATTCCTGTTTTAAAAACGTAAAGTTGAGCTGTATTGTATTGTTTTATAGGTGTACAGTAAATTTTATTAATCAGGAACTTTTCTTCACCCAACAAAATTTATGGGGCCTCACAAAAAACTGCGAAGTGACTTTCCCCAAGAAAAAAACTAGGGAGGGTTCCTGCTACAAACAAAGTCTGTGGACCCCACAAATATCCGTGGAGCGTTCTTCCGAGAAAGTTGTGAACAGTGTGGCGACTGTGGTAATACATAGCGCGTCTGCATTCATTCGGGGTCTTCCGACTTCTCTCATGCACATCGAATTAAGATAGTTCACTACAATTTGATACGTTAAAATATTTGACTGAATTTTAGAAGGTGAGCATTAAAGTTTTTGACGAAACCTAGTAAATTTCTTCTTATAATTTAACTAAATATAAATCTTCGCTGTAATGCATCTACACGTACTATTTTCTTTATATTTATTTTTTCTTGGAAATTGACAGATTCGCGCCATTTTTGTGGTTCCGCAGCGACTGTCCAATTCTATTCTTAAAATGTTGAAATTTACTGATTTTATTTTCGTCTTCTTTTATCTATGTGTTCAAAAAATCGATTGTGAAATAATAATTAACTTACAATAAATTTACTGACTCTAAAAATATTGTTATTATTATATTTAAAGTGTTTCCCCTTTTATATGGGGTGTGTAACTTGAACATTGCATTACCGTTCATGAAAGGCTCAAACCTGAAAACGCGATGGCACGATAATGAAAACACAATGGCACGATGATGAAAACGCGATGGTAAGACGGTGAAAGCGCGATGACACGATGGTGAAAACGCGATGGTACGATGGTGAAAGCGCGATGGTACGATGGTGAAAACGCGATGGTACGATGGCTTACGCGATGGCACGATGGTGAAAGCATCGTGGTACGATGGTGAAAGCGCGATGGTACGATGGTAAAAACGCGATGGTACGATGGTTAAAACACGATGGCGCGATGGTATGATGGTAAAAATGCGATGGTACGATGGTAAAATCACGATGTTACGATGGTGGAAACGCGATGTAACATCGCGTTTTTACTATCGTACTATCGCGTCATTGCGATTTCACCATCGTACCATTGCGTTTTCGTCATCGTACTATCTTGTTTTCACCATCGTACCATCGTGTCATCGCGTTTTCACCATCGGGCAGCGCGGTAACAGACTAATTAAAATTCACGAATGTCCAAACGGAACACCGTTAAGTTCCGCTATTCCTTAAAGTGTTAAAATCAGGGTAAGTGAACTGTATAAAATGGTTATACTTTCATTTCAGTTTCATCTCTTGTACTGTTTGAGAAATATTTATCATCGTTTCAAAAAATGTTATTAAGCCAAATAAAACAAATAAAAAGAATATTTGAATAAAAAACTAAAACGTCAAAACCCCAAAAGTTTTAAATAGACTCGTTTTTCGATGGGAAATATTCATAAATTTTAAAAATACTCCCAAAAACCCCTGGGCAGGAGCGAGTAGATCCAGAAATTTCAAATAGACAGTAAACCTTTAAAATTGTTAAATTTTCGTGAAACCTTAAAAAAAATTGAACCCGAAAAATTCCCAAGATTTTTTGTCTTTCGTAGGGGTTTGGAGTCATACTTTTTATGTGTGCGACATTGTTCTCCCTTTTCAAAGGAAAGGTGTATAAAAACCCTAAAATGAGTTTGGGAACCATAGCAAAAATACGTGGTTTTTTTGAGTAGAGTTTCAGAGGGAAATTTTTTTTAATTCAAACCAGTTAAAAATACAGTTCTTTGGTAATACGTATTTTTTGTGTTACATTTAAAGCTGCCTGCGCCAAATCACGATCTATCGAAAAATGAAGAAACCAAGCTTGAGTCAAATATTCTTTCATTCAGATCACACCTTAGTTATTTCCTTATTATGAGTTACCGGGTATTTCAGAAATATATATTTAAAAAAATATATAAAATGAACACAAATTTAAACTCCCAATGCATTTTAGGAATTGCCGTCATAAGACTAATTAAAAGGAGAGGTAACCACTTGCCCCTCACCTCTGTGGCTTCAAATCCCGACAGGGACTTTGGATTCTTTCATGTGAGGAAGCTATCCAGCTAGCTTACGGAACGTCAGTGGTTCTACTCAGGTACCCGTTCGTGCCTGAAATAATGCACGGAGGGACACCTGAGGTCTTCCTCCACCAGTAAAGCTTGAACGTCGCGATATGATCTTTACTGTGTTGATGTGACGTAAAACCCAAAACAAACAAACAAACAAAAAAGAGGTAAATACGAGTATTCATAACTTTCCAGCATTATTTAATAAAATAAGAGCTGATGAGAATATGACACCATCAAAACTAAAAACAAAACTCAAACCATTCTTGAAAACGCGTTAAACACGCATGTATCAGTAGTTGACATAATCTGTTATGTCAAATTTTACAAACGTGTATCATGGTCAGATGTTGATGTTTACTTTACTACCACTCTTTTGTACAGCAAAATTTGAATAAGAATGAAATTAATTTCACGCTTGAGAAATTAAATAAGTTCTTACGATACAAATTACTTTTAAATCATCGAGGTAATTTGAATTTCAAACATCAAAGGACTTATTATAAAAGCAGTAAAATGAGCATTTTACTAAAAATGATCATCCCTTTCCATGATTACTGTAATTCAATGAATATGACAACATACAAAACCAACATAATTCTCAATCTTCAGTCAATATAAATGGAAAATTGTAAACAAACAAAAACTGTACGAATCGCATTTAATTTAATACATACAACAAAAAATCTGGAAACAAAGTGATTTCTCGGAAACATTAAACGCATGAAGTCACGTGTAACGAAAATGCAAATTGCACAAGTTGTGTTATCTCATAACAAGAGCTGCATTTCACTGGATTCAGTTTGATAGCAAGAAAGTAAGTTTCTTCATAATTTACAGAAATTTATATTTGACTTTCTATTCAGGCGTTATACGAATATAGTTTTCGTAATGTCATATTATAACTGTAATATCTATATACTTCTAACTAATATGAGTGTACCGTGTACATTTTGTGGAGTTATATTTCAATTATTTCATGTCTCTCTTCGTTCACTGATTGGTTTGCATACCAATAATAGTATAGCATAATTTTCTATGTTACATACATTACAATAATTGATACGAATGTTTTTCTTTAATAATAAGACGTGCAAGTATACACAGATGTCTTCCTTCAAATACTGTAATCTTATTGTATGTTATAGGTATTGAAACAAACAAAAATATTTGTTGTAAATACGAAACAGTGTCACAAAGTCTTTGATATAATTCAAATTTTGTTTTATATGAGACAATTTTTAACAATGCTTGCAATATTTGAAGTAAATTTGAACAAGCTTTAAGCTAGCTATGCATCTCATTCTGATTTAATTTGAATTCAGGGAGATAGTAAAATGATTGATGGTTATTCTATGGTCTACTCATATTTATAGAACATCTTTTTGTTCCAGATAGATACAACAGGTCAAAAATGAGTACACCTTTTCCTATCATAGATCTGAGCAAAATAGGCCTACAGAGGAAGCTCAGTGATATAGACAGACATGCCCTTGAAACTGTAGCAGACCAACTTAAAAATAGTTTTTGCAAATTCGGGGCGTGTTACGTCACAAACCATGGCATTGAGTATGAAGAAAAATACGTGAAAAGCTTTGAAAAATTCTACAAACAGCCACTTGAGGTGAAGACACAACATCTTCGCGGAACGCGGCGTGATTTTGGTTATTCACCAATAGGGCAGGAAAAAGTAAACCTTGAGAGACCTGGAGACCTAAAAGAGTGTTTCAATTACCAGCCGGCAGACGATCCGAATGATTGGAAGAACAACGACTTTCCGTCTGCGTGTAGAGAAATGTTTAATGACTGTGAGATACTAGGATACCGTGTGCTTGATGCACTTTCCATAGCGCTTGGTCAAAACCAAACATTTCTAAGAGAAGGGCACAGAAAGATTGGTACACTTGAAAACCCTACAACGTTAAGAACGATATACTATCCTCCAATCACGACAATAGATTTAGGACTTAGTCAATTTCGTTTTGGTGAGCATTCAGATTACGGAACAATATCATTTGTGTTTCAAGATGACGCCGGCGGACTGGAGATCAATGTCAAAGATAAAGGCTTTGTACAGGCAATACCAGTTCCACGGACCCTTCTTTTAATTGCGGCTGATTTACTACAGCGTTGGACTGAAGACAGCATCCCTGCTTTGGTACATAGGGTGGTGATTCCAGAAGAAGAAGAAATGAAAAGGAAGCCTCGGCGATCGGCTATTTTCTTTATATTACCAGATTTTGATTTCTTGGTGAGTCCTATGTATGGATCAACGAAGTATACACCAATCACGTGCTTGGAATATTTACAACCGAAAGCGGAGGCCCTTGCAGGCGTTAAATACTAGGAATGCTTATTGCTCAACTGTATTTTAATTGAAAGAAATAGTTTCCAAATTTAACACCGCCTTGTAAACTATTAGATAATACAGTTGTTTTTGTATAATATTATTAAATCAAAATGGCCACGCTTGTAATCCAGATACGTCTAGATGCATTCATACCTTTTTCAATCATCTTACTTATCAAATAACAACGTATGGACAGATATATTGCATTATCTATGCTCATTTAAAAATGATTTCGACGAAAAATTATTTTGATTTTTGCTGTTATTCACATAAACGAAGTTGTTAGTAAAACCGTGTATACATATACATGTATACAGAAATATCATTTCAATCGGAAGATTAGCATGTTAACTGCTATTATCTATAATGATAGACTAATCCATAATAAGTTATTATAATAAGGCAAATTTACCGGATATATCGTGCTTTCTGCTTATGTAGTTGCTTATGTAGACTAAGATAACAAAATGCTCATTGTAGCAGAGTCATTGTGGTTTTGGTTTGTAAATAGACAGATTGTTTGGGTTTATGTATCGGAGATATCGGTTGTTAAATCGGCAGTAAGACTTCAGGACTAATAGTGAAGTTTAATCATGGAAGAATTTTGTGTATAACAATCAACTAAACATTGTTTAAATACATACATGAATTACTAAATCTTAAGTAACATAAATTTTTTAAATACATGAAAAATCGGGGCTGTTATACAAATTACATGAACGCTCTATGTTTTGAAATTATCGCGGTTGATGTAAACATATATTTTTCTAGACTATAGAGATATAAAGATATTTCTCTGTTAATTCGATTTCTTTATGCTCTTCCATTATTATTGTGGCGGCTATTTGTATATAGACTTTTTTGTTCTTTTAATGTATACACTCTATATGTCGGGATTATTGTTGCTATTATCTTCTTTAAAACTTATTTATACTTGTACACTCTATAAACAGGAACGAAATAAATAGTAAGTGCAACATATGTTCGTTCATGTATATTCACTTATTCCATGATGTCCAACAGTCATATGAAAGTCTAGAATGTTCATCTTATAAAATTTTCATGCGTGTAGGTATAAATGTATATATATATATATTTTATTTTTTTTGATACAATGGCAAATTTGGACAAATCTCAGTACAACTAACCGTTGGTTTGTGTGACCTAACGAGAGTAGTTTTAATGTTTGTTTTTATGACAATAATCAAAATGGCAAGTTTTTGCTTTTTGTTTGTGTTTTGCTCTACAAGGAGAAATAAGAAAAACGTATTACAAGCATGCCCAGTTAGTCATGTAAATTCATATTACGTCATTTTTTCAGAGATATCGCGATGCAAATTTGTCAACAGTTAAAAGATATTCAGAGGAACATCTTGATCATGACAATAAAACTCATAGAAATATTCAAAACCAAATAAATGCGAATCTGGATTAAAAATTTCATATAAAAGGCTTTTTAAACTACGTATCAGATTTCCAATATTTCGTTTATGTCTTTCGTATGTTCTTTTTCACTTTAATGTAAAATTATCTAAGGACAACTCGGTCACACATATTTGAATGTTTTTGATGTACTTTTACCAAGGTCAGTTGAAATTTACTGCGCAGTGCATTTCATGTTCATGGTTATTTGCATGCACGCATTAAAATAAAGATAGAACATTGATAAATGATCTAGTCTTCACATGTTCAGGGAAAATTGACATTTTATATAACCCGAGTACATTAATCATATCAACGCATGTTTAAGTTTTTGTATTGTGATTATATTATGTAACTATCTAGAATCAAATATGAATACAAGAGCAGACAGAGGAGACAGCACGCTCGACTTTTTACACACTAGACGTAGTGAAGAAAGACCAAACTATTAACAAATCAATAATGATAGGATATTAATGTATTTCTATATCAGTATCAAGAAAACACTCAAATGTTCAACTTTTTTACCATATAATATACATGTGACCATGTCAGAAGTTTCTATATTGTAATGAAATAGACATCAAAGATAAACCTAAAGACATTCCTTTCAGTTCAAGAGCAAAACGTACATGAATATAACAACTTTAAGTACAATTTAAAATTATAAGATCAAATAGGAAATACCGCTTGAAATAAAGATACTAGAGCTACAAATCTTGTCATAAATGATGTAAATTATGACAAAAACATGTATCTTAAGTCTGTAGTTACAAACGATTATCATCTGGAGATCAATGTCAAAGATAAGGGCTTTGTACAGGCAATACCAGTTCCGGGGACCCTTCTCTTAATTGCGTGTGATTTACTACAGCGTTGGACTGAAGACAGCGTCCCTTCTGTGGTACATAGGGTGCTGATTCCGGAAGAAGAACAAAAGAAAAGGAAGCCTCGGTAATCGTCTGTCTTCTTTATAGTACCAGATCTTGATTTCTTGGTGAGGCCTATGTATGGATCAACGAAGTATACACCAATCACGTGCTTGGAATATTTACAACCGAAAATGGAGGCCCTTGCAGGCATTAAATATTAGGAATGGAATGCCTATTGATCAACTGTATTTAAATTGAAAGAACTAGTACCCAAACTTTAGAGCGCCTATTAAAATTTTTGATAATACAGTTTTTTATAATATTATTAAATGTTAATGGCTATTTATTCATTTTCATGCTTGTAATCTAGTTATGCGTTAATACTTTTTATAATCACCTTACTTTATTCAAATGCTAACATGTGAGCCACTGATATTGCACTGATATATTTTCTTTACTTAAGCTCATTCGACGTTAAATTAATTTGATAATTGTTTATTGATTCATGGCTGTTATTCACATAAACGAAGTTGTAAGTAATACCATGGTAACATATATACAGATAAATCATTTCAATCAGAAGATTAGAATATTAACTGCTATAATATATAAAGATAGACTTATCCAGATTTATATCGTGATTCTTGTATATGTTGACTCAGATGAAAATATGGTATTTGTAGCTATTGTGGTTTTGGTTTGTAAATAGACAGATTGTTTGGGTTTATGTATCGGGGATATCAGTTGTTACATCGACATTGAGAGTACAGGATTAAAGGGAAGTTTCATCATCATATGAGAAGAGTTTTATTATGACAATCAACTAAGCACTGTATAAATATATGGATGAATTACTAAATCTAACTAAATCTAATTTAACATAAATGTTCAATATACATAAATAATCGTGGCTGTTATATACTTTACTTGTATCTTAAAGCAACATGAACGCTCTATGTTTTAGAAGAATCACAGCTTATGTTTGTAAACATATTGCGTTCACTATGTTCTTCTATAAGTATTGTGGCTGTAATTTGTATATAGACATTTTCTCTTTTAATATCTATGTAATAGAAAAAGCATCGAAACACGAGCCTATCTTATTTGTACGAGAGGGCGTAGCCCCCGAGTACCAATCAGAATGCCGGGAGACTTGATGTTCTTTCTCTTTTGTATCAAAGTAAAAGATAAAAACATGTTTCCTGTTGTCACAATATGAAACCATAGAAATCGGTACCACTGTGCATTATATGTATACTATTTAACTCTGACACATTTTCAACAGAAACCCGACTATGATAAAACCTCTATATACCGGAATTATCGTTGCGTTTATCTTCTTTAAAACTTATTAACACTTGTACCCTCTATGAACAGGATTGAAATTAATGGTATTAGCAACATATTTCGTTCATGTATATTCACTTATTCCACGTTGTCCTACAGTCATAATTATGATAATCTATAATGGTCATCTTATTACATTTTCATCCGTGTAGGTTTGTATGTAAAATCTAAATTTTAATTTTGATAAAATGGGATATTTTGACAAGTCAACACAACTTAATGTTGGTTTGTGTGGCCTAACGAGAGTAGATCTTTAATATTTGTTTTATAACTATAATAAAATGGCAAGTTTTTGCTTTTTATCCGTGCTTTTGTTCTGGTACAAAATAAGATATACGAATTACAAACATGCACAAGGTCATTTTTTCAGATCTGTCGCAATGCAAATGTGTCGACAGTTAAAAGATATTCAGAGGAACATCTGGTTCATGAAATAAAACTCAAATAAATGCGAACCTAGATTAGAATTATAATATATTAGGTTTTTAAAACTAAGTATCAGATTTCCAATATTTCGTTTATTTCTTACGTATATTCTTTTTACTTTAATGTAAAATTATCTAACGACAACCCGCTCACACATATTTGAATGTTTTGCATGTACTTTTACCAAGGACAGTTGAAATTTACTGCGCTGTGCATTTCATGTTAATGCTTATTTGCATGCACATATTAAAGCATTGATAAATGATCTAGTCTACACATGTTAAGGGGGGAGGCCGTTTAGCGGCCCGAGTTCATTTAACATATACATATATTTCTGCGTCGGTAACAGGAAAGCACTCAAATGTTTAACTTTTGTGTACCACATGATATGCATATGACCATGTGAATAAAAATTAATCAAAAATTTCTATATTCGAATGGAAAAGACAACAACTTGAAATCTAAACTCATTCCTTTCAGTAACAAAAATGAGAAGAGCAAAAGTATCTAACAATTTTAAGTACAATTTAAATCATAAGATCAAAGAGGAAATACAGATGCTAGAGCTACGAAGCTTGTCATAAATAATGTAAATTATGACAAAGAAAAAGTATATTAAGTCTTAAGTAGATACCATTTATAATATCAAAGATAATAGTTTAGTGTATATAACAAATTCCGTATAGATTCCCAGAGATAAATCATATATTTGAAGTGTGAATTAAAACATTGAAGAAATGAAGAAATTACAAAAAAGGAAAATTCTAACTGTAACTTAAAATCTTGAAATGTTGACGCTGGAGTTTGATTGTTTTGTTATAAAACTGACCAATCGAAATGAATGGTATGATTACATTGAGATAGGCAAGTTTCTAGCGTGCACCACTATTTATTAACACCTGCTTTAAAAATTTCCGAGATCGATAATGGTTACGGGGGAGCAGTCAATGGATAAACACGATTTAATGGATTGACTAGAGGACTTGGCGTCGTCAAATTTAGCCTCAATGGAAGAAAGGGTTTTATAAAGTCAAAAAACAATTTCTGATAATAAAATAAGCAAAATTTAGCAGGATATTTTGCAAAATGACAATAACGTTTTCAAGCAGAAAAAAAGTGAAGACCAATTTAAGACCAACGTTAAGGTCAGCAATGCATTGAAGGAGACGGCCTCAAAGTCCAATAAAATGGACTTGTCCGGAGCGTCAGAATGCATTTCCAAAAAACTCATTCGCATAGCAGACACATCGGAGTTGGTTTGGTCAGTAGTCAAGGAATACCAAAGCAACCCACTTGCTTCGGACTCCAAAGACGATAAAAAAATAGCTCGTGCTGAAGCCATAGCCAACAGAAAATGGAATAGTAAACGTCCATTTTCCGATTTCAAGAGATTTTTCACCTTACGATCGTACAGCGTCAGTGGAGACGCAGCCACAGAAGTCAGTCGCAGCTTCGACATATCAACAGTCACAACCAGCAGGTCAACCCGACCAGGTGTATGTTTCGCATGTGGCAAGCCAGGGCATTGGAAATACGAGCGTAGAAGTATAAGTGCTGACAAAACGAATGAAACGATAAGTAGTTTTTCTGTTCTTGATTGTAATAAGAGCATATGCAAAGACAGATAGATTATTTTTAGAAGAGAAATTGATTTCTAAAAATAGCATTGGTTTTTCCAAAATATAGACGACAGCGCGTCGGCAGTTGGTCGATTGAAAAAATGTAAAAATGAGTGGGAAAATATCAGAATTGATGTTTATATAAGAACCGAAATTACTCAAGGGTATAAGTTGTCTTTCAAAACATTACCTAATAATTGCATATTGAAAAATAACATGTCTGCTAGGGAAAATCCGGAATTTGTTAAGGAGGAGATTAAAAAGTCATTGAATAAAGGTTGTATTTCTAAATTAATTATATTCCTGCCGATTTGTTGGAAAACCCAGGTTAGTTTTAAACTGTCGGCATATAAATCCACATTTGATTAAATTCAAATTTAAATATGAAGATGTTTCAGTGGCTTCAAAAATTTTCAAAACAGGAGATTTTGTTTTTACATTTGATTTGAAGTCTGCTTATCACATAATAGAAATATTTAAGGATCAAAGAGAATATTTGGGTTTTTCTTCGGAAGATGAAGGAAAAAGACATTTTGACATATAATAATGTGCTCCCATTTGGAATATCATTTTTTTTTCATTTTTCATTTTTTTAATTAATGAGAATACCATTACGACACGTGCGTTTAATGGGCCAAAAGTTAGTAATGATTTGGATGACGGTATGGGCGGACACAATGATTTTAGCGTTGCAAAATCTTTTAGTATCTACGTACATGAGTTGTTCTTAAACTTGGTTTTTTGGTAGCAGAATAAAAAAGCAATTGGATTCCAGCATAAAGGTCAGTTTGGCTCGGTTATTGCTGGGAAATGTTAACAGGCACACCGCATGCTATCGATGGAAGAATCTGTAGGTTAGAAAGCAAGCACGATCGAGTCTTTGTTTTTTTAAACAAATAAAGATAAGTCCTCGTTTTCTAGCATCCGTAATTGTTCAAATCGTGCCTTTTCAAAATGCACTAGGAAAGATAGTATTTTTCAAAACAAGGTGTCTTTATCGCTGTTTAGAATCCAGAATTAATTGAGGTTCATGTGTATTTGTTGAGAAAAACGCTCAAAGTGAGTTGCGCTTTTTGAGGCAAAATGTAAGAATTTTGAATGAAAATGGGACAGAAATAAATACAGAATTGACATGTGATTTTGAGTGTTTTTCTGATGCCTCGTATACCGGGTACAAAGGCTTTGTTGCCCTTTGTGCGGGCGCCGTAATTGAAGGCAGTGAGGTACTGGGTAATTGGCGCTATATAGAAGTTGCACAAAGCTCCGAATAGAGAAAAATTTAGGCAGTAGAAAGGGTTATGAAAAGTAACGCAAAACTTTTAAAAAAAAAAAGAATGTCAAAGTTTATTGTGATAATAAGAATGTTGTTTCAATTTTACAGAAAGGTAGCAGGAAACAAAATTTGCATGAAGTTTCAGAAAACGTTCGGTCTTTTTGTGACAAAAATAGCATATGTCTTTTTTCAGAATGGATACCCCGAGAAAATAATTTTGTAGCAGACGAGTTTAGTCGTATGTATGACAATGATGACTGGAGCATTCAAACATGGGGTTTTTACGTGTTAGATAAAGTTTGGGGTCCATATACTATGGATAGATATTCGTCAAATATTAATGCTCATTGTAAGCATTTTAATTGTAGGTGGTGGTGTCCGGGTTGTGCAGCAGTTGATGCTTTTGGGTAAAATTGGAAAGAAGAAAAAATGGTATGTGCCGCCCCCTAGATTGGTCAGCAAAGTTTTAGACAAAATGTTCATGAGTAGGCATCTGGTACTTTAATAGTCCCATTGTGGAAGTCAGTCTCGTTTTGGCCAAAATTGTGTAATGACGACGGTAGTTTTAAAAATTGTATAGCAGAATTTAAAATGCTACCAAAGAAAGATATTATTTCATTTGGTTTTGTTAATGATGGTATATTTGGGAAAAATCCCTTGTCTGTTCAGATGCTTTCTCTTAAGATACGGCATTAAACAGGCTTATAGATTTCAGATTGGAGGTGAACAAAATCAGCATGTTATACTTATTTTTCTAGGGTAAAAATACTACAACATAAACATAACATATTTTATTATCATTTTTCAGGCATAGGATTGAAACGCAACATAACAGAACAGCTACAAGATGCCATTTGTTACGACCAAAGTATGGTTGACAGTATGTGCCAAGATTAAAAACACTAATAAAAAAATACAGCAACGCATTTCACAGATGGATGGTATATTGTTCCAGAAAGGGTTTTTTATCTTTACCTGCGCGTCCTATTTTGGTTGCACAATATTTATCTGAACTTTTAGGTACTATAAGTTCGTATCATACCGTGTCTCTAATTTTTTACGGAATAAAATGGGCACATGATTTAAACAGTTTAGAAGATCCAACAAAAAACTCATTGTGAAAAATTTATTAGAATCATCCAAGCATACAGCAAAGACAGCTACATAAAAGAAATATCCAGTGTCAACAGAACTCATTGTAGAACTTTGTGATCAATACAAAATGTCAGTTGATTTGTGCACAGTTCGAAAATTATGTATGATTGCATTGGCTTTTTCAGGTTTTTTATGCGTTTTGATGAGCTCAGTAATCTAAAATGCTCAG